TTTGCATTTTTATGTCTTTCAAGAAACTTATCTTATGTAAGCTGTTCATCATTGGCATAAGGTTGCTGATAGCATTTCTTTATTCTTTTAATAATTATAAGATTTATAGTGATGCCCTCCTCTTTTTTTCATTCTTGATATTGGTAATTTCTGTCCCCCCTCTGTCAGTCTCATTATTTATCAATTTTGTTATTGTTACAGTTAACCATCTTTTATCAAGTCGCTCTATTGTTTGCCTAATTTTTATGATTCTAATTATTATTGTATTATCAATTCTCTGTTTGCCTGATTTTCACGATTTCTACTCTTAAATCATTATTTTATTCTCTAATTTTGAATTCAAATTTCTCTTTTTAGCTTATTTTTTCTGAAATTGTAGGTAATTGAGTTGAGGTCTTTCTTCCTTACTAACATAAGAAGCATTGGATGCTGTAAAATGTCACCTAAACAATGCTTTAGCTGCATTATAAAAATCATAATATGTTATTGTCATTCAGTTCAAAACATTTTCTCATTTCTCCTGTGTTTTTGATCCATAATTTTTTAGAAATGTGTAGTTTGAATATTATTTGTTGTATTTTCCAGATATATTTCTCTTGTTAATTTCTAATTTAATTCCATTTTGGAATAGATAATACTGTGTATACTTAATATTTTACCTTAAATTTAGGTTTTTTTAATTTAAGAATAATCGGTTAATGGCTTGGCATCTAGTGTGATATATATTTATGTATACTTGAAAAGAATGTATACTCTCCTGCATTTGGGTGCAGTGTTTAATAAATTCCAATTAGGTTGGTTGACAGTGTTAGTCGTTCTTTATCCTTTCTCTGGCATTTCTACTTGTTCTACCAATTATTCAGAAAGGAATGTTAAAATCTCCAATTGTTATTGTCAATTTTTCTGTTTTTCCTGTCAGTTCTGTTAGTTTCCCTTCTGGATACCTTGGAAGTCCTCTTATTGTTTATATTCACATTTGTCATCATTATGCCTTCTTGACTAGTACTTTTTTTGGGCTATGTTCCTTATTCTGAACTCCAGGTCTCTGATATTCGTATGTTCTTCCAGATTTCTTATGGTTAATGATTTGGCAGTATATCTTTGTTTGCCCTTTTAATCTTTACCTACTTTACCTTATATCTTAAGTGAGTATTTTTGTAGATACTCTATATCTACAAGTTGGTTTTGATAATGTCTAGTTTCTAAGTGAAATGTTTAGACCATTTGTATTTAAAGTGATTATTGATATGGTTGGTTTTAGTCTACCATCTTGACATTTATTTTCTATTTGCTTCATCTTTTTCTCCTTTTTCTCCCCTCTCTTTTCTTTCTTGAGCATACTTTCATTTCACATGCCCCCAGTTCCTTGTACTATTATTGTTTTATATGGTATTTTTACATATGTTATCAACCCTACAATACATGTTATTCTTTTTATTTTAACCAATCAACAAATATTTAAGAAAAAAAAGTATTTCATGTTTACTCACATTTTACATTTAGGACACACTTCACTTCTTTGTGCAGATCTGTTCCTATGTGGTATTATTTACATTCTGGCTGAATGACTTTAATATTTCTTGTAGTGCAGTTCTGTTTGACACGCATTTTCTCAGTTATTGATGACTGGATAAAGCTTTTATTTAGGCTTCAATCTTGAACGATAGGTTGGGGAGAATGTAAACATTCCTGGTGGTTTGTTTCTTTCAGCACATTAAAATGTCATCTGGGTTTCATAGTGTTTGGGGGAAGTTTGCAGTCAAACTTTTGTTTCTCTACACATTGTGCATGTGTGTGGTTTCTGGCTGTTTTTTAGACTGCTCTTTACTACTGGCTTTTACTTACTAGTGTTTATTGGCATGGTTTACCTTGCTTGGAGTTCACTGAACTCGTTGGAACTGTAACTTTACAGAATTCACCAAATTTGGAGAACTGTTGGCTATTAGTTCTTCAAATAAATCTTGTGCACTGATCCCTTCCAAATTCTGGAATTTCAATTACATGTATGTTACATAGCTTGACACTGAGGTTGTGTCAATTTTCATTTCAGTATTTTTTTTCTCTCTGTGTCTTAAGCTGGTTACATTCTATCACTAAATCTTCAAGTTATCACTAAATCTTCAATTTTTTTCCCACAATCTCATCTTTTGTTAAGCCCATCCAGTGGTTTTGTTTGACTGCAGGTAGTGAATTTTTATCTATGAGTTCCACTTTGTAATTTTTTTATAAAAGCCACTTTCCATTATGTTCATGTTTTCCTTTGAATTCATTATGTTCATATTTTCATTTGAATTCCCAAACATTGTCATAACAGCTATAGTATTTATCTACTAGTTCCATAATCTTTACTCATTTGAAATTCGGTTTCTCTTGGTGGATATTTTTCCTGGCTAAGAATCATATTTTACTTTGTTTTTGCATGTATAGTAATCTTTCACTGGATACTGACCATATTAATTTTACATTGTTGGATATATAAATTTTCTTTTCATCTTTTAATGGAAGTTAGACTTAGTCCTGGCAGGCCATTAATCATACCAATCAAGGCCCATGTTTAAACCTTACTGCATGAGTCTAGAGTAGCCATCACTTCAGGGCATGTGCAGTCCTACTGGTAGGGCTGACCCAACCAGAGTCCACATTAAATGCTCCAGGTGATTACTTTGGACTCTGTGTCCATTATGGCTGGAGTCTGAATGGCTTTCTGCCTACTGTAAGTCCTGGAAACTTTGGTTTACAGCTCTTCTCTTGTTTTTAGCTTGGCTTTGTAGAATTTCACTTTTACATTCATGGCCTAGTACTCCAGAAAGACACAGGAATACCTTAGGCAGATTTCTGAAGTTTTTTATCTGAAAAGGTCCCTCCTCTGAAACTCTCCCCTACAAATTCTTGTCACCATCTTCTCCAAGATAACATTGTATCTAATTAAATGTTTATGTGAATTCCAATGGTGAGAAAACATTGTGTCTTGTTTACAAAGAATACATCATAAGACTATGAAAATTAGTTTTCTTCATTCGTTTTCAGGAAACAGATTAAAGAAAATATAGTTGCCATAATAGATTTTTAAAAATTCTCTTTTTGGAAAAAAGCTGAAACAAACCAAGGTCTATGCCATTGCCAGATTTATGGAGACAAACATTTTCTAATTTCTTTTTAATTTTTAACTAATGGATCATTTCCTACAGGCAAGCTTACAGAATAAAAAACTGGCAGAGTGGTAAGTCTGTTTTTATGGAAACAAGGTAATTAGTACAAATCTTTGACGGACACGATTCATTAACTTTTGGACAATATTGATGGGGGAGGACAGAAAGGGAAACAAACCATAAACTGAATCAGTAAATCCCACTTTATGGCTTGGATCTCAGAATCGAAATGCAAGTATTGCTACAACATCAATTACATTTAAATAAAAGGAGCCTTATTTTAACAACAACAACAACAAAAATCTGAAATGGCAAACTGAACTTGCTTGAATTTGTTGATGCCACAAATTATGAAACAGCATTCTCATTTTGCATAAGCAATGTTAGTTTTGCCGCATGAAAACTGTAATACAGCTCTACAGATAAAGGGTTTATTTTTGAAGACATACACACACCTATAAAATATGCATAAATATTCAAAATCATTGTAAATCTCATGATTACAAAATAGAAATGATATTATAAAATAGTATTGTTGCATTGAAATAATATTGATGCATAACATTCAGGTGTGACAGGTCACCTCAGGCTGTCAGCCTGTAGAGATAAGTAACTCATAGAAATGATGATTAATGACTAGCTCCTTTATTTAGCAGGAGGAGGAGAAGGCCACATTGGGGAGAACTGGTCTTCTGGCATACAAGGTAGTAGAAGGATTTAGTTACTCAAGGATGAGAGTAGCAGAGCTTCTATCATCCAGCCTGGAGCTTTATCAATGCAGAACAGTAGTAGCAGTGGTGTTTTCTCTGCAGTTGCTATAGTTGGGTCTTGCTCCTGGATGGTCAGCTATAGAGCTTGTCTTCCTGTCCTCTTAGAGATCTGGGTGCTACCTAAAATCCCTTAACAAATTAGCCTTCTGTTTTATTCTAGAGTGAATTCTAAAACCAACAGACATAGAAATAAAGAGTCAATGGATTTAATTACATGGGGTTCATGAGAGCCAGAGAAGCTCTGGGCTGTTAACATAGTCATAGGGTGGTGGACTGATTGGAGGCAGGTGAGGCAAAGAGAATTGAGCAACTTGGCTTAAACAACTCATTCTAAAAGTCTGTGAAAGGGAAGAAATGATAGAAAACCCCTGGAAAAGGGTGCAGGGTCAAGGGAGGAAACTTTGCTTTTACAAATGGCAGTGATTTAAGGTTCCTCAGAAGACTGGAATACAGTCTCAAGGAGAGGTGGAGGGACAGCTTTAGCCAGGAGCTGTGCCTGCATTAATATAATAGAATGTTTTGTAAGCACTGTCCGTGAATGGTGTCTTTGGCTCTGGAGTGGCCAGAAGTATACAAACATTTCTTCTGGAAGAGGCTTAAGTGGTGCAAGAACAAGGAACTGAGAGATGCCATAGGAAATCCCAAATAGTGGAAAGAAGGCAGCTCCATCTATTAAAGTATATAGAAAAAGACTTAAAAATCATAAGGGTATTATTATTGAGGGCATTTGTATGCTATTTATTTATATATGTAAATAAGATAACCATGTTGAACATTTAGATAAAGAAACAAAATGAATGTACAAGCCCCATAGTTTCAGAATGCTTTAAAACTGTTTTTTAATTTAGGCTCAGTCTTCTCTTGCACATGTATTTTTCCATGGTTGTAGTAAAGTATATATGCAAATAGCACAGGACACACTGTTTATTTATTATAATCATGTTTCTATCTTGTACCATATCCATAGTCTACATTTTGATACTATACTGTTTAATTTCCATAATTTACTTAGCCTTTTCTCTGTTGCCAGCCATGGCTATAACTAACGTAAATGTAATCATTGTATAAATTTGAATTATAGCTCTAGGAGGGACTTCAGGGATTATCAGTACCACATCCTCTTCACGCAGAGAAGAGCAAGATACAAAGCACTTAAATGAATTTCAACAGGATCACACTGGAAATGAGCAGCAGGGTCAAAACCAGACCCCTGTGCCATAACATGGACAGAGGGCAGGAAGCAGAAATGTCACCTGCAATACTCCAGCTCAGCACTGCTCAAAGTTCTGGTCTGTAAAATGTTTATTACTGGTCCACACTGAGATAAGGGGCTTGCAAAAAAATAAGGGAAGAAATGCATTGATTTATATTCTGTTGTTGATCAGAAGCTATCAGTTCACATACCAGATTACCAAGTATAATACTTTTGAGTAGCACAACTCTGAAAGAAAAATTACAAAATGTCTGATTCTCTCTGTACCAATGAATGGCATTAATAAATATTACTGAAGTTTCATATCCACATTTCCTTCATTACTCTTACATTTTTTTCTTTAACAAATCCATTGTGTCCAAGAGATTACCCTTTAAAAAGTAAAGCCCATGTATCCAGTCTGCAAGCATGAAAATGATGAGCTTACCATGCAGATTTGAATGACTTTATTTAGAGGGATGAATACAGGAAAAACAACTGTAGAGGGGGAAGGCTGCCCTTCTAATCTGGTCACTTTTATTGTCTGATAATTCAGAAAGTTCTTGGGAGTTCATGGGATCCATATTTATGTGTTATGTCTGAGAGACAGACTTTAGAAAGATAATTATATCCCTACTAACTCATGGGTTTCAGCTATCCTGATTACTACTAAAATAATTGTTTTAGAATTGTTTTATAAATTTAACTATGACATGAATCATGAGCATCCTATTCTTGTATTTTTCTAAACAGAAAAAATGAAAAATACTAAAAAAACAACACACAGAATGACATGATGTCATGATTCATCATGCTCGATATGAATTGATTTTCAGGACTAATGACAAATTTTGATGTAGTGGTTATAGAAGTACATTTTATAACTCACAGGTGATCTGAAAGTTAATTCTAAGCATGAGAAAATTGCTATTGTATCACCAGGGTAAAACAAAATACCAGTGATCGTTGATTTCATTTTTCGCTTTATAAATTATACATAAATTATGCTGAAAAGAAATTGTGAAAGAGCTCTAGAGGAAAAAGTGATGCCACAAACTGTGATAGATAATATATTTATAGTCACCTTGAAGGAAATGCTAAGTCCTAAATGTTGCTTCCAGAATAGGTATCTTCTTTTGGTTCCATGTGCTTACACACTGTTAACTATTGTTAATAGCAGCAGGCGAAATTCTAAGCACACAGAATATATAAAATCACTTAGCTGTCACAAACACATCAAGAGGTAGCATTGTTATTTAGTTAACTCTGTCATATACATCACATAGAGGAGGAAATTAAGATACAGGGAGGTTAATAATATAACTTTCCCTAGACTAAACATACACATCTCCCATACAAACCCAGGAGTTCACCATTCCACCTTCTCATTATGACTTAGCTTTCACATTATCATTCATGCAGGAAAAGAATGCTACTAGTAATATTTCTTGACATGAATTAGTAAGTTGACAGTGTAGTTTACATTTTTTTTTCATCTTGTGATCTGACAGTAAAAAATCAGTTCATTACATCATCTTTGGGTATTTGGATTAAGTAAATTTTCTCCCATCCTTCAAAAAAAATACGAAAGGCCAGATGCAGTGGCTCACACCTGTAATCCCAGCACTTTGGGAGCTGAGGCATGCAGATCACCTGAGGTCAGGAGTTTGAGACCAGGAGTTTGCCAACAGGGCAAAAGCCCATCTCTACTAAAAATACAAAAATTAGCCTGGCATGGTGGTGAATGCTTATAATCCCAGCTATTCTGGAGGGTAAGGCAGGAGCATTGCTTGAACCCAGGAGGCAGAGGTTGCAGTGAGCCATGATTGTGCCACTGCACTCTGGGCTGGGTGAGAAACAAACAAACAAAAAAGCAGAAAATGTGTATTGGAGAAGGTTTAGAAAACACAGATACACATAATGATGAAAAATATTCCACAATCCAGGAATAATACTTAACATTTGCATGTCTATCAACTGAATCTCTATCATCTAATCTTTCATAAACACAAATACACATACTAGTCAGCAACACATGCTGTCATTCCAAAGGAAAAAAAAAGATAACTTTTTATCTTTTTGCTCACAGAGGCAGATCTGCAAGCCATGGAAAATCGTTTCTAGGCTTTGAGATCTAATCAAGATCTTTCAACATTTGCCCAGTTGGATGTCAGGATTTCTAAGGATCAGTGGCTTTTTTGAGCTTTCCATTTCCTCTTTCTGAAATGTTTATAAGCAGTTATCCTTTGTGCGTCTCACTACTGTATGTTGGGTGTGTGGGAGGCAGATAATGTCTCATCTTTTTAGTCTACAGTGAAGAGAGGATACTTAATGAGCTCTAATTAAAAAACTACCCAAGAAGCCTCCTCCATCCCTGGATCTAATTTACAGAATGAAATTCAAGGCTTCCAGCTGATTATGTAAAGGGAGAAGACTTTTGAGGACCTTGAGATGGCCTGTAATTATCCCTGCCTTCTGGTATTCCATACCAACGTATAATCCTCTCCCCTTGAATATGGGTTACCTTTATTGACTAACCTCTAAAAAAGAGAATATGACAAAAGTGATGGGATGTTGCTTCTGAGGTTATTAAAAGATTATGCCTTATGTTTTAGGCTCCCTCTCTCTTCCATCCCTCACTCTTGTCATTTTGTGCAAGAGCACATGTAGCAAAGAACGGATACAGTCGTTGCTAGAGGACCAACAATCAGGGTGGATTAGAGGTCTCCTGTTAACATACATAAAAGTGAGTTTGGAAGTAAATTTTCCCCTAGTTTAGACTTGGGATGACTGTTGCCCACAGCTAACACCTTAATCACAACTTTGTGAGATGCTCTAAGCCAGAAGCATTCAGGTAAACTGTGCCTCAATTCCTGACCCACAAGAACTGAGATAATATTTATTGGTTCTACTGCTAAGTTTTGGGGCAATTTGTTATATAACAGTAAATAACTAATACAGATGTTGAATTTGATATAAGACTGAATCCTTATTGTGTTACTGTGATTAAAGATTGCATATGCATTGAACTTGACGTATCATGTTTACAAATAAATGCATAAACTAAACTTAAAGCACATTTTAAAAATTGCTTTTTTATTTCCAATATGTGTAACTGTTTCCTTTTTACATGTTTATGCTTATTTTATAAGCAAGATATTTGGATCTTATAAACTCTGAGGAAATCATTGTTCTTATGAAGTTTTTTATTTTGTTTTCTCAGGTGTCAGTTCTTCAGCTTGTTGGCATCTCTTTCATGGTACTGGTGGTCTTCCTTCTACTCATCCTGGCATGTGTCTGCAGGGTGCAAAGTGTGGCATACTGGAAGATGGAAGAGGATTATACATTGGTGTGCAATACCAGAACGCAGGGATCATTATGGGCCATCTTGAGGTCCTCAAAAGTCTTCTCCCTTTACATAATCAGCTGGAAGCCTTGAATTTCATTCTTTAAATTAGATCCAGGGAGGGAGGAGCCTTCTTGGGTAGTTTCTTAATTAAGCTAACTGTGTAGGTAGCTTATTTTGGGGGATACCAAAAGTAGTTTATCCATTCATATTTCAGATTAGACCTCCCTGAGACAGTATTTTTAGCTAGATTCAGTACTTTGACCTGGGGTAAACACTGCAGCTGCCCACAGATTATTATGAGGGAAAAGGAATGAGTAAGATTTCAACTATTCGAAATTGCTCACCTGATGATTTTCCCAGGAACGCATCCGACTTTGTGCATTTTGTGACTGTGTTTGCAGAATCTCAACAACTGCTCCCATCTACAAAAGGACTTTTTTAAAAAACACTATTTGGACTGTGGTTTCTTCCTGTAGTGTATCTTTGAGGAATGCTTCAAAGTCTCTGATCAGCAATGGTACACTTTTTTCTTCATTATCGGTATGCATGCATTACAAAACACGTTTTACAAATGTGCATAGGTACATATGTATATATCTTTATTTCTTATTAAGAGGTTTGAGTAGGGGGAAAAAGAAATATGTGTTTTTTGCCAATAGAATCCAATTAATAAAAACATTTATATTTTTGAAATTAGAACTAAGAGTTCATCTAGAAATAGAAATAAGTCTATTTTTGATAAAAATGAAAACAATGGATCTAAACCAACTGTAATGCTGGTGATGAAGCAGTTGAAATGAACAATTAGGAAGTGGTCCAGTCATTTAGTGAATGTTGATTCTGCCATCAACACATTGAGGAGACATGGTACTTTACTCTGTGTGTAAGAAAATGATATTTAGAAAATCTGAGTAGATGTGTCCCAAAAGTGTTATTCTGAACTTGATAAAGATGATATGACATTTTTCCTCAGGGCAACTACCATATTCATGATTTGTTTGGACTTAGTTTTTCTCCACTATCATTGGATATTTTACAGGCGGTTAGATAAATAAATCTGGTAATAGTTTGATTTAGAGAAAAGAGAAAGATGCATTAAGTTTTTTTTTAAACACCTGTAACTTACAATTCAAGATGAGATCTGGGAAAAGAAAAAGAAAAAAAATTAAAAATAGAGAAATAAAAAACACCTGTAACTATATATGTAATATAAGTATATAAAATTTTAAAACTTATTTTGTAACTTTTATAGTATGCTGGTTAATATGTCTAGATTAAGTCTACCAAATGTGTTATGAATATTTTTTTCCACATAAAAGATAAACTGTTAATATTTTCCAGACATCAGTGTCTAATCTACATCATTAGCAGACAATTCCTTTGGCAGCACCATCTTACTCTTGATCTGCTTCTCTTAGATTAACTGAAGAGTTGAACAGTGTATGAATAATTGTTTTTTATTCCCAGTTTAAATTTTCCTTTTTATAAATGTAATCTGCTGTATGTTGTTAAGGAAAGTGATCAGTTTAGCTAAAAGAAAAATTATCAATTTATGAAAAAGGAAAAGTTGGGAAAATGGTAACTTCTTGGTTACTGAAAAGTGTTTGCTTCTAAAACAGGTAGAAGTAAATATATAATACCCGACTCCCTTATCTGTGGTTTTGCTTTCTGTGGTTTTAGTTACTCAGGTTGTCAACTGTGGTCCAAAAATATTAAATAAAAAATTCCATGCTAGGCATGGTGGCTCACATCTATAATTCAAGGACTTCAGGAAGCTGAGGTAGGAGGATCTGTTGAGCCCAGGAGTTTGACATCAGCTTGGGCAATAGTGAAACCTCATCTCTACTAAGAAAAAAAAAAATTTAGCCAGCCTTGGTGGGACACCCTTGTTGTCACAGTTACTCAGGAGACTGAGGCAGGAGGATCAGGAGTTGGAGGCTGCGGCGAGCTATGACTGAGCCACTGCACTCCAGCCTGAGCAATGAAAGGAGACCCTGTCTCACACAAAAAAAAAAAGGAAAATGAAAATGAAAGAAGGAATGAAGGAAGGAATGAATGAATGAAAGAAAGAAAGAAAATTGCAGAACTAAACAATGCATAAGGTTGAGATTGTGCACTGTTCTGAGTAGCATGATTAAATCTCACATGTTTCCAGCCCAGGAAGTGAATCATCCCTTGTCCAATGTGTCCATGCTGTATAGGCTACCTTCCATTAATCACAGCTATCTCAGTGGTCAGACTGAAAAAACACAGCACACATGGGGTTCAGTTCAAAAACATAGTATATATAGGGTTCTATGGTTACAGGTGTCCACAGGGGTCTTGGAACTAATCTCCTGTGGATAAGGGGGACTACTGTACACATTTTCCTCTGGTGGTTTACACCTACAATGAGAACATTTAACAAAGTAAGAACATTAAAAAAAACAATTTAAAAATAATAATCAATGATTTAGGCAAGGATGAAAATACTTATAAATACCAAGTAATGTAAACATTTATATCTATTTTAAAGAAAATTTTAGTATTTTCAGTTCCTTAATTATATAGCTAGAAAGTTATAAGGGAAAAAGAATGTGGTTTAGAAATAGCATGAATCAGCAGGACGCAGTGGCTCACACCTGTAATCCCAGCACTTTGGGAGGCTGAGAGGGCAGATCACAAGGTCAGGAGATAGAGAAACCTCGTCTCTACTAAAAATACAAAAAATTAGCCAGGCATGGTGGCAGGTGCCTGTAGTCCCAGCTACTTGGGAGACTGAGGCAGGAGAATTGTTTGAACCCAGGATGCAGAGGTTGCAGTGAGTCGAGATCACGCCACTGTACTCCGGCCTGGGTAGGACAGACAAGTGAGACTCTGTCTCATCAAAAAATAAATAAATAAATACCATAAATCTGGGTTAGATTCTCACTCATTAATCTTACTTCAGAATGATATTTACATGTTTCTGCTGCCTAGGAAAACAATCTAAAAGCACAGTTGATTCTAAAATGCATTCCCCTGGTTTCTTGAGATGTTGCATTCCACTCTTGAACATGAAGCTAACAGCAAGTTTGGAGAACAGTCTCATGATTTTGCCAAGTTTAAATACATGAATATTTTTAAGAAAATATCTTCATTAATGGTTGTTGAGCTAAAATCTCTATAACTACATATTAGGCAAAGATATGACACAACATCCATACTTAAATGACTTTTTTTTTTTTTGAGACAGAGTCTCACTCTGTCACTCAGGCTAGAGTACAGTGACACTATCTTGGCTCACTGCAACACTAGCCTCCTTGGTTCAAGCGATTCTCCTGTCTCAGCCTCCGAGTAGCTGGGATTCCAGGTGTGCACCACCACACAAGGCTAATTTTTGTATTTTTAGTAGAGACCAGGTTTCTCTGTGTTGTCCAGGCTGGCCTTGAACTCCTGACCTCAAGTGATATCCCTGCCTTAACCTCCCAAAGTGCTGGATTACAGGCGTGAGCCACTGTCCCAGCCGCACACTTTAAAGATTCTAATAAAAGTACTGGACCTTAAAATATTGTTTCCACCTAATCATACTCTGTAAATCTGAGGAAATGAACAAAAAGAATCTCAATTTTTAATCAATATTTGACCAGAAACATCTTTAGATCAAGCCAAGCCATGAGCTTTTGAGATAAAAAAGGAAACAATTCCCACCTTTGGGGAAACTGGTAGACATGTGATATCTAGATTCATCTGGATATATCTCAAGATTGGTATTTACCACTATATTTACTACTATCTGAAAATCCTAAGACAACCATTTAAAAAATTCCAAAAGATTACTGGACTTATTTTTTGAATTTTTGTCTTTTAAAAATATGGACACAATTCATCTTCTTTAAACCCTCCTACACAAGTCCTGGTTAAAATTTTACAGGGCATTGAAATGTTCACTTCGGGTACTTCTTTACCGGCACAAAATGCTGTCATGCTGATGTAGCTAAACACCAAGGTGCAAATTTAACTATATGATTCTGAAGGAAGCAGTTGAAGACTCAGGTAACATTTCTTTAGGACAAGTCAAAAGAGAGTTTGCTGTTTGGTGTTTGACACTGAAGCTCCTTACCAATATGTTTTATTAAGCTCTCTCCAGAAAACTACAGTATTTTGGTATTAGTTTTCTAAAGCAATTCCCTGTTAGTTAATATTGTTTTGTCATAGTGTGCCCTTTGTCTCCATCAACCTACAGTCCCATCTTTACTCATTCTGCCTTTTGGATAAAAAAAAGTGCAATGATATATGGCTTGGCACAGAATGGGCTTGGGATACCACAAAACTAAAGTGGCACACTTAAAAAATACCTCTCAGCTACAGAGTCAAATAAGACTGGGAAATGCTAGAGGTCAGAACATTGCTCACAAATTATCCTGGTTCAATTTAGCCTGTGAATGTTTTGGCATTATACAAACAGTGTCTGATGACTCATATAACTTGTACCTTAAGTGCGTTTTGCTGTTGTGCATCCTTTTAGTCCAGCTACCCCCTGAGGAACAAAGTGTTACAGAAGCAGTTATGGTTTCAATTTCCCTGTATGATTTGCTTTCATTTGAGAACCAGTGAAAGGTGGGGGAAATGGACTGACTAATTCCTGACATTATCGGGGCTTCAGAGTACTAAATTTCCACTCTCCCTCTATCAGGGGAGAGAGTCCTACCAAAGACTACAGATAACTTAAAGAAACCAACACACAGAAAGATGCTACTTAGGAAATATTATTATCAACAGTAATTAATTAGTCTTCCCATCTAGTACTATGTACTTGAAACATTATTTTATTTTTTTAAATATCACACATCTAGTGCCTCATTTGATTCTAGATTTTGAAGTCATTAAAACAATAGAGATTTGCATTAATGGCTATTTAATGGCTATAAAAACAATGGGTATTACTATGGTATGTTCCTTCTATCTACAGGCAGACAAACTGCATTTTAGATTATCAATCTGATCTGATTTTGCCTGTATTTCCGAAGCTCATGGTTCTCCAGGGATGACTTCTCACTGGTACCCAGTATGGTGAACCTTTAAGTCAATGCAGTATTTGTGTCTCTAGTCTTGGTTTGGTTCTTCTTTCTTTTTTCCACTAGGAAAATGTTCACTTTATCTTCCACAGCTTCTTCAGTACCAGACAAGGGACTCAACTCCTGATTACGATCATCTCGTCTTACTTTAAGGATGAGGACTAAACAAGGGGAAAAGTGGTGAGGATACTGGAGCACATTTGGGGCCAGTTCCCAAGGGGGAGGATAAATCGTACACACACGTTATAAAATCCACATAGCCAAAGAGAACAGAGAGGCACCAAGAATGGCACTTACTCAACGGAATCTTGACTTGGTAGATAAGGGGATTAATATACAATAAATTTTTATTTGCAGTTTTCTGGAGACTCAAAGTGCTCTAGTGAAAAGATCATTGATCGTATAGTCAAGAGACCTGGACTTCAGCCCTACCTGCACAAATCCCTGTGTAGTCCTTGACAAGTTACTCAGCCTTAGTTTTCCCATCTGTGAAATAGGGATGAAAGTTCTCTAGTACCCCAGAGAATTGTTCTTGAGCCCAAAAGTCACAATTTATATGAAAGTGCATTATATAAATATGATTATGTAATATCTGGTATCATCAATGGAGGAGGTTTTCTGTATCTACTATTCCCAAATATATTACACACATCCGTGACTTATGGTAGGTATACTGAACTTTTTTTTTCTTTCTGATACTGTTTTTCTCTGTCACCCAGGCTGGAGTACAGTGGTGTGATCTTGGCTCACTGCAACCTCCACATCCTGGGTTCAGTGATTCTTGTGCCTCAGCCTCCTGGGTAGCTGGGACCACAGGCACATGCCACCACACCTGGCTAATTTTTGTGTGTGTGTGTGTGTTTTTTTTTTTTTAGTAGAGACCGGGTTCTGCCATGTTGGCCAGGCTGGTCTTGAGCTCCTGAGTTCAAGTGATCCACCCACCTTGGCATCCCAAAGTGTGGGGATTAAAGATGTGAGCCACCGTGCTCAGTGGCCTACTGGAACTTTTTAAATGATATGCATTTAAAGTTGATAATGAGATAATATAATCTCTATTGTATTAAGAACTTCTCATCCTTGTACCTTTGCTTTTCTCTACCTAATTTCCATGTTTTCATCTTGATACTTTCTGAAAATCAAATAAGAAAATTCAGAACACTGACAGTTTTAAGAAGGCTGACTCAGGGTTACTAGGAAAAAGATCAGCTTCAACATGATAATTTTACTTTTTTGTCAGGCTTTTCTTGAAGTGTTCTGAGATCCTCTCATTATGTCAGTAATTTGAAAATAACACAAGTAATCAATGACAGAAAGAATGGCAGGTGGTCTCAAAATAATTTTTTGGCCCTCTTTCTTTCTTTTCCCTTCTTCATCTACACTGGGCAGAAATCTTCATGAAGGGCTTTTATACCTTTTTTCAAAGAGTATAACCAGTTTTATCAATGAAAGCTCTATAAATAGCTTCTGAATTAGAATGTTTAATTTTTAAATATTTTAAATCATTTTTTATAATTACTACATTTACAGTGTAATTCTGAATTGAATTTTGTGGTTAACATAATCTTCATAAATAAAAGAAATAAGATAAATACTTATCTCCAAAAATAAGAATATTAATAATGATGCATAGTCTCAGATATATCCATTAAGAGTTTAATATGGTTTGCTTGGTATGTGTTTGTAGGAATTTCTGAAAGAGTCATGTTTTCAAGAAAATAATTTGGGAAAAACAGAAATTTAAGTGGCTATTTTTGTGGTTAGATTAGTATTTATGAAATTCAGTTTTGTTCCGTTCTCAGCAAATCATTAAGAGATCCCAAGTAATAGAATGAGAAAACCATTATGTTTCATAAAGAAATATTCTTGGATATTGAAGATAGTCTATTAAAACATTTAAGTGGTATATCTTTGTCACCATGAATTAAATATTTAACAAAAAAAATAGT